AAGACAAAAACTTGCTTAATGTATCGCACTTCATTTCTTTAAAACAATTATTCATGTTTTTATTGGAAGGGCAGATTTACAGAGAGAAGGTGAAACAGAGAAAGATCTTCCATTCACTGGTTCATTCCCTAAATTTCTACAATAGCTGGAGCTGAGCTGATCTGAAGCCAGGACCCAGGAGCTTCTTCTTTTTCTTTTAAGGTTTATTTATTTTTATTGGAAAAACAGATGTACAGAGAAGAGGAGAGACAGAGAAGAAGATTTTCCATCCAATGGTTCGCTCCTCAAGTGGCTGCAATGACTGGAGCTGAGCCAATCCAAAGCCAGGAGCCAGGAGCTTCTTCCAGGTCTCCCGTGCAGGCACAGGGTCCCAAAGTTTTGGGCCGTTCTCGACTGCATTCCCAGTCCACAATGAGGAGCTGGATGGGAAGCGGGGCTGCTGGGATTCGAACCAGCGCGCATATGGGATACCTGCCGGAGTCCAGCTCCAGCTGAGTTCAGAACTTGAGAAGGGTGTGTGGATGAGGCGTAAAGAGGAAAGAAAGATGGACCACTAGGATTTCATGATCATAGTGGACAATGCGGGAAAGCTGTCTGCTTTATTTACATAGAAACAGTCGAACTCTGGCTCAAACTTTTTATGTCATGGTCAAGCGGGTGTTTCTAAGGATAATTCTGCCATTTGTTTACCTAAAAATAATATAAGTTCCTGCTACAATTCTTATTCTACAACTCAATCTTGTATCACAAAGAAAAGGGGAACCTAAAGACTGAGGAAAGAATGAAACCCTAAATATAGGTCCCTTGATTAGCATATGGTCAATGGGGACAGCCAAGACAGTATGAATAATAGAAGACCCTTTTGCAAGACATTATTATTGACATTATCCTCCAAGCTCATATTGAGTAAAAGGCCAGCCTCACAGTAGCAAACAATGCCTGGATGGATTAGAATTCTTCCTCAGGGTGGTCTGGTGTCCATGCAAAGGAAGGTGGAGCTGCATTCAGGTGATTGTAGAGACATCCGCCGGGCCCTGCCAAACAGCGGGAAGTTCCTTGCTGCCCTGCCTGCAATGGAACAATACTCTTCACACCTTCATGTCCCCCACACCCCCTGCACGGACCCCAACAGATACCAGCGCATTCAAGGTGAGGACTTTAATTGCTGCACTATTGCTTCAGGCCCAGGAGCCAGGAGCTTCTTCCAGGTCTCCTACGTATGTGCAGGGTCTCAGGCTTTGGGCCATCCTCAACTGCTTTCCCAGGCCATCAGCAGGGAGCTGGATGGGAAGTAGAGTAGCTGGGACATGAACTAGTGTTCATATGGGATGCCAGGACTTGCAGGTAGAGGATTGGTCAGTTGAACCATCACACCATCCACTGATGTATCATTTCTGTACCTTCAAGGCAGTCTCAGCATTTATCCCAGAGATCAAAATTTGGAGAACAGAATACCCTGTTTGCCAAGATCACAGCATTCCACAGCTGTGTCTCTGGGGGCTTGTGGGGAATTAGCAATTGGCTACGTTGCCATTTGACCAAATCGTTTGCGTCTGACCAAGTGCCCAGTGTCCTGGTACTTGCTAGCATCTCCCCACTAGCTCTGCTTTGCCCTGCAGATCATCACCTTCTCCCCAAAAGCTCTACAGGGAACTGCTTTTGCATGCCTGCCTGTTGGGTGTGACCACAACCCCTGAGGCTGGCAGCACAACAGGCATCAGCCTCACCAACAAGGGGGGAAGTTCAAGAGCAAAGAGTTCAAGGGTCTCATTCAAGGTGACGCAGGTGGTGTGCCAGGATTGGACTCAAGATTTCTAGCTCAAACTCCAGTGTGTTTCCTGGAAGGCCAGCAAGCCACTGGGTTTTATTCTTTGTGATCTTTCCCCTTTGTGCATAGTGGTCCCGTTTCTTCCTCTGACTCTGGGTCAGCATTCAGATAACCTCTAGGCTAGAGTTCTTTGGCTGCAAGACACGTAATTCTCCAAGTGCACAGAGTTGGTTGCTGTCGACCACCATCATTCGTTTATCTGGGTGATAAAGCTAATTCCTGTGGCCACTGGATGTCAGTACTGATCTGTGTCTGATAACCGAACCTCTTGCCAGGCCAGGCAGTACCAGCCGCATCATGGTTTAAGATGGAGTAAGAGCACTGTTTGCCAACACCAGGGTGCACATCGATCACAGTTTTAAACTCAGCAGCTGGATTTCTTTGGCCCCAGTTTTGAGAGGCTGCCTTTCTTGGATTCCTCCTCTCCATTGCTTGATCTAGCTTCTCTGGATCTGTTTTAGCAAGACTGAGAGAACTACCCTTCCAGATACAGGCTTAAACATCTCTGTTGGCCAATTGATTCACGTTCTAAGGTTAATGCAATAGCAAGTGTATCAATAGTATTGCAAAGCAAAGGGCTGAAGTAGTAGCTTTTGAGATGGGGAGATTGGGAGGCAAGAGTCTTAGAGAGCTGTGTGATGGGAACAGGTAACTGAAGTGCAAACAGAAATGAGGAAGTGTTCAGCAGTCACCACATGTAGAAGGAAGGGAAAAGAGAGAAGGGAGGCCTGTGGGTGTGGCACAATGTACAAGGTGTCTAGGCGGCTCTGAGCCAGGAGCTTTCCTTACACTAACACACTTCTCCCTTTGCTCTTCCGCAAGCCCACAAGGCAGGTGTAGAAGAGGAAATCAAGGCTTAGGGAGGTCAAGTCCCAGGTGGAACTGGGCTAAAAATCCAGCCACACATGATTGCAGAACTCAGGATCCTAACCATGCTGCTACTCTACTTCTGTCCCCTTCCCCCACTGGAGTTAGGTGACTTGTCCCAAATCACACAACATCCAGGCCAAAGGAGGCAGAACGAGTTCACACTAAGGGTTGAAGTTCCTGAATTGTCTTGAGTGTTCTTTCTGGGGCCTCACTGGGCCGTGTCCAGAGGTCTGCAACGGAAGTGGGGGAAGGTAGGGCTAAGGCCACTGCTCCCCCATTGCTGTGGGGGAGGGGTCCAGTTGGCCATAGTAGCCACTGGGGACAGGGAAGAAATGCTGGTCTGCATAGTCCCTTGGCCAGTGTCCACCTCCCAGGTGCCACCCCTGAGCCTTTCCCCGTGGATGCTGAGGGCCCCAGCTGGCAGGTGGTGCTCATCTTCCGTTGCCTCCTCCCCTGTGCCTGGGAGCTGTTTTTAGTCCAAGGCAGACTTCCAGCCTCTCCATCTACTTTGCACATTGTCAGAGGCCCAGCCCCAGGGTCTGCTGCAGGGCTCCCACAGGGTCTCAGGTCTCTGTCCAACTCTGAGTCTCTCCACACCTCCCTTGTCAGTGCCCCTTATTCCTTCCTGCCTTTCAAGAAACAACCTCTACTGAGATCTCACCTGCAAAACATGACCCATCTAGCTCAAGCACAAGAGTCAATAATTTTAAGTTACTCACAGATCTGTTTAACCTTACCATAGTCACTTTCCAAAATATACCCTGGCCCCTTTAGGAATCCCCGTCTAGTTCCTTCATTCCCATGCTACCAGACAGACCCAAACAAGCACTTGTCTATTTTCTGTTCAAAACATTTCCTGTCCTGGGAATTTCTGCACAGAATCATTGATAAGGCTTTTTGTGACCCTTTCACTTGGTTGTAGTGTTTCCAAAGTTTATTCAAGTGGTAGATGGATTCATACTTTGCTCCCTTTTATGATGGATTAAATTCTAATTCTCCCATCCTTCAAGGTTCAGCTTGATTCCCACCTCCAGGAAACCTTTGTCACTTCTTGGGCCTGCTTGACCACTCCCTGTGTTACTCACAATGTCGTACACAGCATTCCTCTCTACTGCATGAGAGCCATTCTTGTGAACCAGACCGTATTCTGGGCCACTTCCTTGGGAGCATGCCCTGGGATGGAGAATGGTTACTGGGGACCATGCTTGGTTGCCACCTCATCGAGGAGTTGTAGGTGCAGGAGTGGGTGGAGTGAGAAGCTGAGCTGCAATGTGAGTATTTCACCAACCTCCAAGAGTCCTGGAGTTGACGTGGCTGCAGAGCTGAGTGGGCACTGGGCATTTTTATTCCCACATCCGCATAAACTGGTGCCATTGGGTGCAGCTATCCGAGGAAGGTGTTGTGACCATGTGCAGGTTCAAAGCAAGTCTTGCCAAGGGACTCAGTTGGGGGATAGCAACAGGCATTCCTCCCAGCAATGTCATGGTGTCAGGAATTCTGTCCAGAGATCAGGGTCATGAAAGAGCCCAACTGGTACGGGTCTGGTGGTGGGGAAACTGCTCCTTTGGCTTCCAATGTATCAGATCCAGCCCACACTGAAGGGTAAGGGAATTTGAGTCCTTGCTATTGTTGCCCATTACAAAAGCGAGAAGCAACGCAGTGCTGGATTTCTATCCTAGGAAACAAAACAAAGCCTACTGGCCTGGTGTGATGATCCAGCAGCTAAATCTTCACCTTGCATGTGCTGGGATCCCATATAGGCAACAGTTTGTGTCCCAGTTGCTCTACTTCCCTTCCAGCTCCCTGCTTGTGACCTGGGAAAGCAGTGGAAGATGGCCCAAGGCCTTGGAACCCTGCACCCATGTGGGAGAACCTGAAGAAGCCCCTGGCTCTTGACTTTGAACCAGCTCATCCCTGGCCTTTGCAGCCACTTGGGGAATGACTCAGCAGATGGAAGATATTTCTCTTTGTCTCTCCTCTCTGTAAATCTCCCTTTCCAAAAAGAATAAATACATATTTTTAAAAATTAAGAAGAGAATCAGACACATCTGAAACCTTTTGTGAACCTCTCCCGTGGCCCCAGGGCATCATGAAAGCCATAATCCTCATTCTTACAGATGTCTTGGTGCTGTTGCCATACACGGATGAGTGTATAGGTAATAGATCATCTTCTGTTCATTTTAATACTCATGGTAATGACATTGTCATGTATCGTGCTTTTTTCAATTGATAAAATGCTCCACGTCAAATGAGATTTGCCTGTGGCTTAAACTGCAGCTCTGGTCCATTTGTTTCCTTGCAGTAAAGTCCTGCTCCTGAAGTGTTATTAAAGGCCAGGGGAGAGAGAGAGTCTTACTGAATTGCTCAGCTTCAACATCTTTCAACCATCCTCATCTTCCAGAGAGGTAGGTCACCTCGCTGTTACAGCCTGATTTTGTGTGTGTGAATTCCCTGGCTGCCTCTTCCTAATAGGAAAGGCTTGGGCAGGCTGCTTAGTTTCCCCTGTGGGCAGCACAAGAACAATATCTAACAGCTCCGCTATGGGATTGTCTGTGGAGTTCCGAGTGCAGGGGATGTTTCGCAGGGCATGGTCTGCAGGCTTCGTTTCCTGTCTCCCTGGGGTTGTTTCTAAGCAGATAGCATGAAGCTCTGCTTCATGAGGCATGAACCCAGGCCCAACACTTGATAAACCGAGAAGCTGACGGCATCAGGAAGCAGACTGTCCAATTCTTCCCTTCTCTTTTCTGCCTGGGGCTCCTGGTACGATTGGGAAGAGAGAACACTCAGCTTCTCATCCGCCCCATCTTGGGTCTGCTCAGCTTCCGGACTGCTGCCCTCCCCGAGGCTGCAGTCACTGGCTGATGCTCAGTGACATTTCTGAGAAGTCAATGAACCTAAGTCTCCTAGCTTCAAATTCTGTCAGACTTCCAGCCCCTATGGGTCCTTTCCAGCTGCTGTTTTGCTAGCAGGCAGCGGTGGGAGCAAAGGGTAAACAGCCCTTTCAGGACTGCTTCCCCTGGCCTCGCATACTCAGCAGGCAGTTCTCAGAGTGCACTTATAGAACTTGGGAGCGTTCTGAGACTCTTCTCCCTAGTCTTACCCTGAGGACTGCAGTGGAGCCCCTAAAATGTATTTTCCAGAATCCCTAAAAAGTTGAAAGGCATGCAGGGTGAGCATTAGGGGAATGTGGGAATGATGATGTGTGTGAACCAGAAAGTGGTCAGCCCACGTGGCTGTCAGCCATGCAGGCATACATGTTCTGGCCTGTTCACCTTCAAAGGGAGTTTGCACAAAGGAAAATAGCTCAAGGTAAACCCATCGTCACCTTTATGTCCTACTGCTACTCTTGCGTGCTTTTGTAGAATTCACAATGACAGAACTCACCACCATCATTAGTCTCTGTTTCCATCATAAATCCAATTTTTTGCAGGGGGAGTGAGGTGATGATATTGGATTATGTCATTTCCTCCCCCTAATTTTATGCATTTTTTTCCTATTTTTAAAAAATGGAAGCAACTTGTTTGAGTGCATTTTAAGAAGCTAAAAGCCTGGGCCCTGGAAGATAATTTACAACATGAATTTAGGGAGCTACGGGATAGCAAATAAGTATGAACTTGGACCAGTTGCTTGCAGGTATCTGGAGTGTCCACTGAGCAGGTGTCTGAGACCATAATTACCTTTTACAGTGAAGAGCTGTGATTGACTAGTGATGCCTGTTCTGAGCCCCACAAACCTTCATCTGCAAACCAGAGTAGATTTTCTCCCATGGGAAACCATGACCTCATTGTACAGCTTTCTTATTTTTCATACACTTCATTTTTATTTAACTATTATGTCAACTGTGTGAACTCAGTAGGGCTAATCTCTCTTTATATGAATCAATTTATTTGTCAACTATCCATTGAGCAGTTATTGTACTAGGCTGGGAAGATTGTCTCTAGGGTGAGTATGGCCAATGTCTTCTCTTCTTCATGGCCTCACATCAATAAGAGGGGGCTTATTCCCTTACCTGTCAATCTGGGTGGTTCTTTTGGATTTGTGTGACCAGATTGCAGCTGGAAGGAAATCCCACTTTTCAGTTGTGCTGTGGTCTTCTTGTCACATTTGCATTTGGAGCCTTTTTCTGCCATATAAGAAGATCAGTGCTCTTCTGGAATGGCCATGCGGTCCAGCTGAGGACAGCCATCTAGCTGGACCACCAAGACACCAGCCATGTAACGGGTGGTCTTGGATCCCCAGCCTATGCAGGTGTCAACTGAATATTGCTGAGACACCCAGGTGAGTCTATGTAGAACTGAAGGATCACCAAGCTGAGTCCTGCCTGAACTTCTGACTCATAGAACCATGAAGTGAATCGATTGTTATTGAAAATGACTAAGTTTTGGGGTGGTTTCCTATGTGGCAAGATTATGTTATGTAACTAGAACATTAACATTTGGCCTTAGGAGAAGTATAAGACCTAACTTCTTTTCTTCTCATTTTTCTTCTTTTAAACATTTATTTTATTTGTTTGAAAGAGTGAGAAACAGATCTTCCATCCACTGGCTCACTCCCCAAGTAATCCAAGCCAAAGCTAGGAGCCTGGCACTCTCTTTGGGCTTCCCGCATGGATGGTAGGGCTCAAGCACTAGGGCCATCTTCTGCTTTTTTCCAAGCACTGTTAGCAGGCAGCTGGATTGGAAATGGAGTAGCTAGGAGTCAAACAGGGGCTCATATGAAATTTCAGCATTGTCAATAGTGGGCTTAACTTGCTGTGCTACAGTGCCCCAAGCCATACTTTCAATCCATAGTCACTCCAAGTCACTTGGAAGTAAATAAACAAATGAAACACAATTTGATGGAACCACACATACATAATACAGAACAGCAGTCCCTGAGTCAGGGCAGGGGGATTTGTTCTGTAGGGGAAGGGAAACCTTCCTGAAGGCAGTGGCTTTGGATCACATTGCTGCTGGGAGTCAGGACCCACCAAAGGTTACTTGTTTTTCTGTTTGTTTGCTTGTTTTATTTTTCTGGAAACACTCTAAGTATGAGAGAAGGGTTCCCAATGACCAAGCCTAAATTGGATGGCTGTTTTCTTGGCAACAGTTGGTAGATGTTGGGGTGGCTAGTACTCAGGGTCTTCCATATCAGTGAATCCAAGTTTGGAATGGAAGGGGCTGGGGGCGGTCACTGACACCAAACCATAGCAGCACCCTGCAGCGGAGTCTCCCTAGCCTGTTTTATCGACATCTGGGCTGGTGAACTTGTTGTGCACTGGAGGGCGCTGTGGTGCACTTTGCTGAGTACTTGGTAGCATCCCTGGTGTCCTCTCAGTAGGTGCCTGCATTTGGTAGGAAGATGGAAATGAGCCTGCGTGTATGAAAGGGGCTCAAGTCAACAAAGCTCCTAAGAAATGCAGGAGCCTTGGCAAGCAGTGTAGCACTTCACATTACAATGTCCTCACCATCCCCCAGTAACTTTGTTGGTGCTCCCAACCTTGTCTCCAAGAAAAGCATCCAAAGAGAATCATCTGTACTGGGCAACCAAGAGGGCTGTTCAGCTTGACATCTTTGGGCAAGAAAACCTTGGGAGGAACCCCATCTATGCTGCCTTCAGGAAAACCTTTGTCTAGCTGAAGCGGTGGGAAGCAGTAGGTCCCCATGCCTATCCACACCCCACTCCGAATGTAGACTGGGCTCAGCTCCATCTGGAGATGTGCCCTTCCATGCCCACAGATGCAGTACCTGCCTAAACCTGGCTCCCTTGCTTACCACTACTGTCTGTCTCAAGTCTGAAATTCTTAAATGAAGACAAAAATCTTGCCTCCAGTCATCTCCGTGAATACCCAGGGCATCGAGATCCCCCAGTTATGATTAAAAACGTCCCCAGACATGTCACGTATCCCCTGCAGTGACTTTGGGGAAGAATCATCCCCATTTGAGAACTGCTCCTCTACAGTGATGACCCAGACCCCAGGAGCTGCCTTATCCCAGTCCCTGCAGAGACAGTAGCTAAACATCCTCTCTGCGAGGCAGCAGAGGCAGCTAACAATCCAGAGCCATTTTCCAACATTTTGTAACCAGGCAAATGTTGATCCTATGGCATGGCATTTCTCACAATCCTGAACTTGAGTGGGCACTTGGGGCAGCAGGTGGCCCACCGAAAGGTGCTGGGCAGGTCTGGAGCAGCACATGCAAGGTAGGCTATAGGTCCTGGGACTACTTGTGTTTAGACCACACTCAAGTGTGCAGAGCAGGAGCTGTGACTCCTGAAACCTTGGTAACTCACTGGAGTCTGTGTGTTCCTATGTGGGCAGGGAAGAAAGGCTTGTTAGTAGCTGTGAAAAGCAAAGAGTGGAGACTTTGGAGCCTGATACTTCATTGAGAAGATGTTCTTACTGTACAATCACTGCTTAGGCTCTGACCTTGCCAGTGTTCTAAGCCAGACTGAAGAGAGCATTTGGATTAGCCTGTTGCTCACATTATCACCTCAATGTTAGATCTGGGTCAGCTGGATAAGAGCGTCCTATTGTCTCCTTGGCTCTGTGCTGATGAGAATCTTTTGGATCACAGGCAACAGAGAAAACAGGTCAGTTAGAGTCTTGGGTTGCTTCATTAGGAGCCCCCCCCATTCTTCCCCACAGCCATGACACAGGAGCAGGTGCGCCCTCCCCAGTGTGGTAACTCAGCTCTTCTCTGCTTCCATTGCCACTGCTCCTGCCACGGTCTAGTTATCGCTTTTCATGAAGTCACAGGACTAAGATCTCTAGGAGACAATTTAGCTGGCTTGGGCTGTGGTATATAAAAAATGACTCTATAAGCTATAAGCACTGCCTTGCAGGGCTGAGCCCCCCACTCCCAGGAGAACCAGCATGGTGGACCCTTTGTGGAGAGAGGGTCTTAGGAGGACGCATGGCCTCTGAGGGTCCCAGGAAGGGAAGCATCTGAGACAGGCACCATTCCGAGTGCTGAAGTTGGGCTCAGCTGTGCTGCTGGGTCTTGCTTTTCCTGTGGTCCAGCACTAGGTACGACCAGAGGAGGCCACTTCTGCAGAAGTGCTTCCTGGACTCAATTCTCGCAGGATTGAGGAAGCTCAAGCCTCAAGCAAATGGCTCAGTAGAAGCTAGGGGGACTGCTCACCACCCTGTCTAGAAAAGCTATGAGGCTGTGTGGGAAACTGCAAGATCTCCAGGAGGTCCAGCTCCACCGTCTGACAGAGTCCCCTGCTGCTTGCATTTCCTCCTCTTCCTCTAGGGAGTGTGGCTCCCTGATGCTCTGAGACCCTCATGGTAGTTCAAGCAGAGCGTCTTCTCCAGGAACCCAACCCTGGGTCGGAAGAGGAGGGGGCATCATGTTCTCAGGTATGGAGAGCCCAACAGGGGCTTGCTTTGCTGAAGCATAAGTGTCTTCAAGTGAAACTCCGG